CTTGATGATTTTTGGATGAAACGATGGCAACGTGGTTATTAATGTTTTTCGAGATTAATGCAATTTTTATAGAGTACAGAAATGTTGGAAAGATTTTAAAATGATATATGTTGACAAAGAAAAATTGTATAATGATAAGTCAAATTCGACTTCATACGCGAATATTGCTAAAAAAAGTATTAGTTTTTTTGAAAAAATTATATAGTTTGTGACCATTTAAACCATCTTAAATTTAAATTAATTTTTACTTCTTCAACAAACATTTTTAATCAGTTTTTTCAAGGAATAAAATTTTTATAAAATTATTCGATTTTTCTTTGTATTATTAAAGAAATAATACTAAATATTATCAAATAATACAAAAAAATCATAGAATGTGCTATTCTATCTTGTCTTTACGTTTTGTCTTTAAGTTTAATATACGTTGATGGTTCAATCTTGTATAATTTAGTTTTCTTACTTACAAATGATCCCAATAAATATCTGTCGCAGTATCCCAACTTCCATGGTTATTATCTCTCTTCACTCGTCACGATCGGATAATATGAAGAAGCGAGAGAGCGTTGTGGATAATCGAGCGTGGAGGAGAAGTCTGTTTCATTGGTGAGCTAAATGGAATATGGGTAAGGAACTCGTTTAATTTTTGAATTATTTAGATCCAATGGTGTAAAAATTTGGAGAAGTTTTAGAATTTAATCCTCTAGGGAAGGAGATATTTTAAATCTGCCTAGAAACAAAAAAAAAAAAAAAAAGATAAAAATAAAATTGGAATTTTCTTTTTCAAGCAAATGAAATAATAGATTTATGCTATTATAACAAAAGGTATTAAATGTTTCCTCTCAACGTTATATATAGCACTTCACTATAATTCCTGAAATGCTTTGAATCGTATTGTAAATTTCTTTCTTTTATTTCTGTCTCAATTTTTATTATATATCAATATAATTATAATTTTCCATTGAAAAATTATATCTTATACGTAAAATTTTTGTATTCCAATTCTTGTTTTCAAGAAAATCAAAATTGAACAGAAATATCCTAAGTAAAAGACTTTCCAAATATTATTATCATTATATTATTCCATTTATTTTTGCACATATAAATCATCCTTTATCAAAATAGCACTTGATCCACTCGTAAAAGCTTCTCAGTAATTTCTAATGTAATTTCAACACCCAATATAAAAATACCCAATATTCATCTCGCGACACGTGCACACGAAATGTAACTCAACCCAACCTTCCAACCCTCCCACATTCACATCGTATCACACGTAACCATGCACAAAATTTCTCAACCAATATATTTTCAACATATATTCGAAATCGTTGCTAAACGTTCAATTAACATCCTCGAATGGAGGACAGACGATGTGCACAAACTTATTTCAAGCGTTGAGATAATACGAAGATAAAATCGATTGAAGATACTAACAGGATCCTCCTTGATGCCTATCCCACAATAGGGATTCCACAATAAGGCATGGGAACGGCTTTCCACGCTTTGTGACCTTCGATCCCCTGTTGCGAGTCGACGCTTTATCGCCAACGTGTCATTAGGACAACGTGGTTCGCACCCCAAATCCTCCGTGGTTCCCCGCTCTTCCGGGATTACTTTCCCGATTCACACTTCCTTTCCAGTATCTGTTGATGCGATTATCGGTGTTAACAGAACCTTTTACACCAAAGTAAACATTAAATTAAGTTCTAATTATGTATAATGTTTTTTTTTTTTTTTTTTT